ACAGCTGATCAGCTGTTTGTCGGCTCAGCGCGGCAGCCATGTAAATGTAAATGAAGCCGTGATCATTTAAATCACGGCTTCATTTGCCTTTGCCTATGTGTCTAATCTACATGCCTCACTACAGAGGCATGTAGCCTAGACACAGCCCAAGGGGATGTATATTCAAGCCCTAAAAATCATGCTAAAACATACTCTGCAATTGCACTGAGAAATATGATGTTATATTCAAGGGAAGTAATGAGATTCCTGTTTATGTGGTGTTTAATAATTGGATGTTTAATTGCTTGTAGCTCCTCATATTAATCTTTGTTCATCTTCATCATGTACCACAGAGAGGAGTGAAAGAGATACTGGAGCATAATAAAAGATAGGAGTAGGTTGCTTTCAAGAAGCAAGGAAGAGGCAGTGACATGAAGTCAATCCTGTTCCCACTCCAGATTTTCACTGAAATTTTAGCTTCATCAGTTGTTCTTTCTTTCTTAGTTTGTTGTAACAGTGCTGAAAAATGCAGCCTCATTATCATATTCAGCCTCCATTTTTGCATGGACTAGAGGACTAGCTCACCGAGCTAAACTGGATAACAACACTGACCTCCAGAATTTTGCCAATGCCTTGGAAGAGGTCTGTGTAGAGACGATAGAGGCTGGCTTCATGACAAAGGACTTAGCTGCTTGCATTAAAGGTTTGCCTAAGTAAGTGCAGATAATGCATACTATCTTGAAACTGCTTTACACTGGACATTAGCATGGTTGTTAAGCCCTGTAGTCACCAGTAGTGAACAGCAGACTGGTGTGGGGTAGGTTTATTATTTGTATTACTGTAATGGCTATGGGCCAGGACCTCTTTAGGTGATGTGCTGTATAAGAACAGGATAATAATAGTAGCTGGCTCTTCATTTTTAGATCTCAAAGCACTGCACAAAGGAAGTTACCATCATTAACCCCATTTTACAGGCAGGGAACTGAAGGTCAGATGTCATGATGGAGAGGCAGTCCCTGCTGCCAAGAGCTTACAATCTAAAGTAATCCATCCTGTCGGGCCAAACTGTATAAGAACCCAGGTTGATCAGAACAGACTGGGAGACAGTTATTGTGGAACGACTATCTTACATTGACACTTTCTTTTATTGAATACAAGTGTGAACTGCACTAGTATGAAGGCCTGGATTTTAAATCTCCAAAAATCTATTACTCATCTACAGTACTCTGACAATTCTCTCCTTAACATGTTTCTCCATGGTGAACTAGCTCTTTTGTTAAGGATGTTGGGATGGTCTTGCTACCATATTTGCTGGATATACAGTAGGGATGTAATAATGTAGTCCAGGGGTGGCCAACCCGAGGCTCGCAAGCCACAACAAAAATTGCAGCTCCTGACAGAACCAGGACAGAACCTGGAACCGCTCAGGTCAGCCGCTCGCACGGCCAGGCTGAGCACAGGCAGCGGCTCCAGGCATAAATTTGGAGGGGTGGGGATAGATGCCTGGCTCTGGAGAAGGGGATCAGGTGGGGAGAGGAGAGCAGTGTGCATGGTGTCCTGGATGCGACACAGCAGCTCTGGCTCCGGGACCCAAGCATAAGGTTGCGGGGGAGGGGGATTGGGTTATAGCAGGGAGGGGAGGTGTCTGGGGAAGGGGAAGGAAGAGAAAAGGAAGGGGGATTGGGTTGCGCACGGCATCCCAGCCAGCTCATGCTCAAAGCCGGCCACTCAGTGCATGTGCCCCAAGGCCTGGAGGGAGACACCTGGCTGTGGCGGCAGCTCTGGGACCTGAGAATTAGATTAGAGCGGGGGTAAGAGGATTGGGTTGGCGGGTGGTATGCCTGGCTTTAGGGAAGGGGCGGAGAGGGGGAGTGGGTTGGGGGGGTGTGCCTGGCTTTGGGGAAGGGGAAAAAGGGGGATTGGGTTGGCGGGTGGTATGCCTGGCTTTGGGGAAGGGGAGGAGAGGGGATTGGGTTGGGGGGTGGTGTGCCTGGCTTTGGGGAAGGGGAGGAGAGAGGGATTGGGTTGGCGGGTGGTATGCCTGGCTTTGGGGAAGGGGAGGAGAGGGGGATTGGGTTGGCAGGTGGTATGCCTGGCTTTGGGGAAGGGGAGGAGAGGGGGATTGGGTTGGCAGGTGGTATGCCTGGCTTTGGGGAAGGGGAGGAGAGGGGGATTGGGTTGGCAGGTGGTATGCCTGGCTTTGGGGAAGGGGAGGAGAGGGGGATTGGGTTGGCAGGTGGTATGCCTGGCTTTGGGGAAGGGGAGGAGAGGGGGATTGGGTTGGCAGGTGGTATGCCTGGCTTTGGGGAAGAGGAGGAGAGGGGGATTGGGTTGGGGGTGTGTGTGCCTGGCTTTGGGGAAGGGGCGGAGAGGGGGCTTGGGTTGGGGGTGTGTGGG